CCACACCTATTACTTACACAATATGTCTTATACAGCAACTTGTATATCATTAGTAACACTGGCAGAAGCAACTTTAGTTTGCCCTGTTTGTCTGACACCATAACATCTTGCAAGATCTGTGGGTGAAAGAGTAGGCCTTTCTATGACAAGTAAGTCTTGTACAGCGTCTCAAATTTATGGTGCAGAGGCTGTCTCCAGCTTGCAGAGCTGTGCAGTCTGGCCTTCAGGGCTAGGGATTTGAGTGGGGCAAGGCCTGCTGCCAAAACCCAAGGCATGGAGCCTTATTTATGACATGTGCTGGGGGGACAGAGGGAGGTAAGCAATGGCTATATTAACCCCCACAGCTGCCACTGCCACCTAGGGCTGTGCAAAGCTTTGGTCCCCGATTCAGTTCGGCAAAGGTTCAGCCCAACTTGGTGGCCAAATCTCTGAATCCGAATCGAATCAGAGGACCCTTTAGTCTCTCCGAATCGAATTGGAACCCTCCAAATGGATTCAGAGAGATTTGGAAAGATTTGGACATAGAGACAGCTTTAAATGTTTTTTCTACATACCTCTAGGTATCGGGGACTCATGAATGCTGCGATGCTGAGGCACATGGAGTGTCCCACAGAAGCCCAAGGGGCTCCCCAGCACGCTCGGCAGCAGACCTGGAAGTGGACCAGAAGCACTTCAGGGTCCGCCGGGGAGCACGCAGGGCTGGGGGAGGGGGAGGCCTGCACTCCCCCGGCTCAGCGACCGGTGCCTCCTGGGTCTGAAGGGGTACCCGGGGTCCCCCCCCACAGCCAACAACTGAGCCAGGAGGCCCTCCAGTGTGCTCCCTGGCAGACCCAGAAGTGGACCAGAAATGCTTCCAGTCCACTTCTGGGTTCACTGCCAAGCATGTGGAGGGCTGCCCCACACTCCATGCGCCCCACCATCACAGCGATCATGAGCTACGCTGGTACCTCAAAGTTTGTAGAAAAACATTTTTAAAGCTGTGTCTATGTCCAAATTGCTGATTCTCCAAATCAGCATCGAATCTTCAGATTTGAGTTCAGCTAAAATCAAATCAGGAACAGTGATCCAAATCAACGAATTGAATCACTGTCCCTGATTTGGGCTGAATCTGAATTGAATAGGGCCCATTTCGCACACCCCTACGTGCCACCTGCAACCTCTGCTCAGCCCACCACTGCATCTGGCCATGGGGACAGGGTGAGTTTGATCCCCCAGATCTAATTCACTGCTGTCTTGCTTGACTAGGTTGACTGGTTGCCTGGAAAAAGGAGATTCCTTCCTTTCCTCTGTTGTGAGCTAGGGCTAGCTGGCCTTCAGCTTACTCCCCTGACCAGGTCAGTCCTGAGGGTGCTCTGCCAGCACCTTGCTTTCAATAACACGTGCTGCTGCTCTGTTCAATTGGACTATACCAACTTCGGTCTCTCCGAGATGGGAGCAACAGGAAACAGATCCTTTCATTAAACTCATCATAAAGAATCAGCACGGGGGACAGTTTGGTTTTTGCTTTCAACTGACCTCTCCAGTTATTTAGTCCAACCATGAATATTAACCGCAGAATGTTATTTACTTAAAGCTCAAATGACAGGCCCATCTGCTCACGATCTTCAGATACACTCTCTTCCCCACTAGTTTGCCATGTCATGGCATGAGAAATGGCATGAGAACATTGCACTTTATAACAAGGTATGTTAGCTATTATCATCTACTTGGTGAACCAGGAAGTAAAAGGTTCTGATAACTATTAGCTGCTAAGACAGACATAGAGTTTATTCATGAGCCTCGCTGGTCCAACTGACATGTCCACCTGTTCCACTTCAATTATTAGTGGCACTGAAGCTGCAAGAGCATAAACAGAAAGATTCTAACTAGTTAAATTTGCCAAGCAAGGCATGTGTGTTAACACTGTTATACTATTTTATCAAATGTACACAGATGCTATGCATTCTTAAAAATACACATTTTGGTATGTGGTAGGTATCAATACAAGCTTCAATAAGCACACCACCTGCAAAGAATTGTACTTACAATCAGCAACTCACTTTCCATTTGGCCTCTTGAGTTTTTGATTTTTACTTCAAACTTATCGGCTTTTTGAGTATCAAACCAAAGCTGTTCTCTCTTTTGAGGCAAAGTTTTTTCTAGCTATACAGCACTGGTTGGTCCATAGAATACTGCTGGGAACTCAAGGTTGGCTGGTCACAAGAAGGCACTGATTTGCACTCTTTTCCTATTTTCAGCTGTTATATTTCATTGGAACAAAAGCAAGGATCTTTGTGAGTGTTATCTTTTATTGGACTGAGAGCACAGTTGGGATAAATTCAGGCAAGCTTTCAAATGCAGGGCATTCTTCATGTCTTGCATATGAAAGATTGCCTCATTTTAGTCTAACAATGCAGTTGATCCAAGGAAAGATATCACCCACAAAAACTCTTGCTCTCACATCATTCCTGGACCATCATGGTTACATAACTACAACAGTACTACTGAAAAGCAGATGCACATGTTAAATGCTTTATTAATATAACTTCTTCATATAAGTGGTTGCTGTAGTTGACACTTGAGCTTTTATGGGCTCTCTCAGGTGGAAAACATGGTCCATGTTATCAAGAAAAGGAACTGAACTGACCCACAAAATGTTTCCAGTCAGATGTGATGCACACCAAATTTAAGAATGTCTACTTCCTAAAGAGTCACAGGGAGACTACATGAAGCCAACCATAAAATATGAATATTGAAATTTGATGCAAACTCTCCAGCATAGGAATTTTCTTCTTAAAATTTACTGGCCAAGAAAAGAAAATAGTTGCCAATACAAAGAAAATACAGGTGACACCAAAGATAGCAATTCTTACATCCTTACAACAAACACAAGTGTTTTGGTATAGCGTAGTACAAAAGTAAAAATGTGAACAGTGTTATCAAATTCCTCTCCATTCAAACTTCATGTCAACCAGCAACAGTTCACAGGGTCAGCAGTTCCTGAGCTCACATTTTTGGTTTTGATGGATGTAACATTTCTACTCCAGTAGCAATTTTTAAAAAATAAATAAAACTACAAGAGTCACCATTCTTGGTATTGCTCAAGGCAAGGAATTAATTAAGATTCTCAATAATAAATATGGCAAGATCCCTACATACTTTCATTCTAGGACAAACTTGGAACAAAAGAAACAGGCTTTGGGCATCCCTGCAGCCTGGCAATAAAGGGATATATTTATGTTGGTTTGATTTCCAAGCTCTCTCTGACATTCCCGATTCCTGATGCTGCCATGCACTTTGATATCCCAAGTATAAGCAAAAGTATTTGATCCAGTACAAAGAGAAGGTGCAGTTCTGGATTCCAATCATATGAGTTACTCTGGCATGTTGTCCCTGCTATGCCTACATGGCTGTAGCAGGGTTAGGCCTGTTAGGGTTTATTTCATGTTCTTTTGAGGGGGTATGGGGGGGGTGTTGACAGTTAAAAACTATTTAGAGTTCTTTGATCCAATTCCATTTTATACTTGTTTAGTTTAGAGTTGCCCCAAAGCAACACACATTATAAGATAAAAAGACATTATATGGGCATGAACTATGGCTTCCAGTCTGAATAATGTAGGGACAGATTAACAAAAAAGTTACACCTAGTCCACTATTAATTACAATGTAGTCAAATGTCCCTAAAATCTATACTTTGGACTTAAAAATTTGCCAGAACCACCTTGCCCAGGTGGTAGCTATAGCAAACTGTCAAATTTGTAAAAACAAAATACTACATAATAGACAGCATGTAGGATTGAATACCTTTTTTATTTTCAATGAGATTTTAGGGTGTAATTCTCCCTCTCAGATACATGAATGCAAGGTACATAAGCTTCAGTTAGAGCTGTATCCATGTATGAGGCACAAAATGTATCCCTTAAAAGATAAAGATTTCAGATCACAATTGCAGATGGCTTCAAGAAATGAAAACGTTAACGTATCAGTCAGTGATAAAGGTGGTAGTGTTAGAGCAGCAGTTTTCAAACTTTTTGAGCTGAGGCCCCTTTGAGTTACAATTTTGTGCATGGCACCCCCCTCTCCCCAGAGGAGCAGCACAGCCAGGCAAAAGGCACCCCTCATCTTAGCAGCCACCGTGGCTTGGCTCAGCTAGGCGAGGTGAGCTCCACCCGCTGCAGCCCCAGCACCTCCTGCCTTGGCCCTGCTTTGGCTCTAGGCTGCGCGACTGCCACACTGGGCTCCCAGAGAGATAGCAGCCCATTGGCAGAGCCTGCCCACAGCTCCTCACCTCCACACCCTGCCATGAGGCTGCAAGTGCCAGCTCCTTGCAAACTTTGTGCCTGCACCCCCACAAGGTACCTTCATGCCCCTACCCCCAGGGATGTACACCCCAGTTTGAAAACCCCTGTGTTAGAGTGATGTTGTAGCCGTGATGGTCCAGGAATTAAGTGAGGGGCAAGCATTTCCCCTGAAGGAGAATGTCTTGAATTAAAAAACTTGTCTAACTCTATCCCAAATATGCAGTTGCTTCAATAAAAAATACCACCTTAAGAAATTCTTGTCTCACTGAGAAAGAGACATGCTGATCACAGTCCACTTTGGGAATATATAACCATTAGCATTTTGGTGACAGAAGCTATAAAAGGTATAGAAATCAGGAGTGGGGATAGGCAGCAAGGATTCACATTCCTTTTCCAGAAGCACCCAAACAGGTTCAGTTCTCAAGGTGTTGCCAGTCAGGACAAAGACTGTGACTGCAAAATAATGAAAGGAAAAAAAAATGGAAATTAAACTCCTCTGTGTAACTAGTATATATGGGATCACTTAAAATGCAGGTACTTCAATTTGAGTGTGTCAAAAATCTAATGTTTTCTAGAGTAATTTACAGGAATCATTTCACTTGAATCTCTCTTGTACTCTGATTATTAAGAAATCAAAGCAAGTATTCCATACATTTGAACATGAAATCTGAGACTTTTCTTACATAAGTTAAAGTCCACTGCATCATCACGCTGAATATTAATACAATATATGTATATTTGCACTTTATTTTCCATTGTATGAAGTATGTACATACAAAACTGATCCACATATCTTCTTTAGCAACAAGATTTCATTTTCATATAATTGAAGGTGTGAGAATGACATGTTACTGTTTCTGTGAACAAGTGATTATGCATTTTTTTACATTAAAATGAATAGCCTAAAAACATTTTTCATAGAAAGCAACAGAGAAGCAACTAATTATTGATAGATAATTATAACAATAAGTGACAAATGAATGCACTTGATCCAGTTTGTTTCCTGATACCTTTCTTGTTTTTATATTTCTGCCTCACCTACACCATTCTTCAATTTAAATACACAATACCAACACAATTTGCTTCTTGGCCATCAAGCATGTATTGCTTGGTATAAGCAAGATTTGAAGTAAGATTACTACAAACATAGTGATTAAGTGAGACAGACTGCAAAAGGGGCATCTAGAAGCTATTCACTGAATATGGTGATATTGCCCCATGGGTCCTGGTAGATGTTATATTTATGGTGCAATTGTGTTAGTCATGCCATAAATTGTAACATGCCAAACATTCAGCCAACTCATGATGTGATAAAATGACGAATAAGGTATAAGTGGATCCATGTTTAATGCTTCCATTTAATGTGGAACATCTGTGTATATGGTTTGTATTCTACCTTAAACTAAACATGCGGCATGTGTCCCAGACCCAGGCTAGCCCCATGCCCCATCCCAACCATCTGAACAAGTATGGGGCAATCCCAGGGTCTTCGATCATAGTCCTCTCCTTGGGCAGTCCCATGATTTGAATCAGAGGAATTTTGTGTTCCCTTCCAAACACTGCACATCTTGCCATGCACATTGGTATGGCACATAACATTCCTCAGGTCCCAATCATGCCATTATTTTAACATCCACTATGGGGCCTGGAAGAGGTTGAATACTTATTTTCTTTATTTAAAAAAAAAAAAAAAGAGAGCATAATGAGCTTTTTAAAAGTTTTAAATGGGTACAAGATATAACCAGAAACACACCTTTAGTTGCAGAGTACAATGCTGCAATAGGGAAATGCCCACTACTACAGTACCACATATGCATCAAATATTAGTTTTCCTATGGAATCTGCTGACTAACACTTGTGAAATGTACAGTCCAAGAGGCCAGTCATGAGCAATGAGAACATCTAGCACGATTGTTTCCTTGTTTGCTTTCTGCATCTTCTGAACTGGATTGAGTTGAATAAGGCATTCCTTCAGCCATTTCACCCTGTGCATCCACTGCTTCCGGAATGGCATTCATTCTCAGTATGTCAAAACAGAGCAGATAGTCCTGGAGACAAGTGGGCAATGGCAACTTACGGATAAATTTGTCGGATCGCAGATGTTTGCTTTGTAAAAGGGACCGGATCTCAAGACGACAAAGGTGGGACAGGGAAGGGATAAAGGCTGTAAAATGAAAGATAAAAAAAACAAACAAACTGAGAAACAGAACTGCAGGACTCAGTGCCTAATATTTTCTCCTCACTTTGACTTCTCCCCTTTGCTAAGTGAATACCAAATAAAGTCTACACTGTTAGGAGACTAATAGAATTGTAGCAATTTATAAAGAAGTCTAGAACTAGAGAACCAGCATTTTAGAATGCCTATGTATTAGCAAGAAATAAAATGTACTTAATTCTGTTCATACATAGTTGTCAATGGAAACAAACAACTTTACTCTCTACATTTCACTACACTTGTCTAAACAGCCAGCTAATTAGATAGAAATCAGAAAAAGTCACAGGACACGGTGACTGAAAATTTAATCCAAAGGATGCCAGGCCAATAACAGAAAAAATAATTTAGTGTGGAGGGAGGGGGAAAAAAAAAAAAAAGAAAAAAGAAAACAATGTCCATGTAAAAAATGGTTAATGATAATGAGATTCCATCATCTTTTCTTATTATTGTTCAGGTTATTGCTAGTCCATTTTTCCTTTAATGAACTAAAATTCTCAATCACATCTTTGTACAGTACACCTAGGAATTGCATTAATCTGTGCTGTTAGCCTATTTATTGTACTGTGCAATGAGAAAATTGTAAACCAGAGGTGTCAAATAAATGGCCCATGGGCTGAAGCCCTGCAATTCAGCCCCCAGTACTGCCTCTGGGTCTAATCAGATCCACAAAGGGCACAGCACAGGCCCAGTCTGTGGGCTGGATCTGGCGTGTGAACCCCTCCTCCCCCAGCATACCCTGATCTAGTGGCTGCTCCAGCTGGTCTGGAACCCATGCTGCATGTGGCACAGATCCCAGAGCGACTGCAAAAGGTACTGTGTGGCACAGTCTGCCTGGAGTGACATGTGCACTGCACACAGCAACTGCCCCGACCCAACTGCACCTCACACGGTTCCCAGCAGCTCCAGTCAGTCTAGGACCTGGGCTGCATGCAGCACCTCAAACACCACGTGCAGCACAGGTCCTGGACTGGTCAGAGTGGGCGCCGTGTGCAGTATGCATCCCAGAGGAGGTGCTGGGTACTGCCTGTTCCAACCACTCCGGGATCTGCACTGCGTGCAGTACGGATCCCAGACTAGCTGAAGCAGACACCAGATCAGACATGCTGAGAAAGTATGAGAGGGAAGAGGTCTGTGGGCACCCCTGCTGTAAACCATTCCTTTGGGAATTTCTCTCCTTTCTACATTTCTCTGTCTCTCTCTCTCATCTCAAGTCAAGGACCAAGGGTCAAGTGAATAACAACATATAGCTAACAGACACAAGAGAACCTTGTGCTCTTACTGTTTAATACAAATTCTAGAATGCAACTTTAATCCTTGTATTTTTGTTCTTTTATAGCACATTCTGAAAAGGCATGTAACATTAGATTTTTGTTCCACCTAAAATATGGCTATAAAATCTTTTTAATTAAGGATAATCAGAAGATGCTGAATGGTAAATAAGAATACAAGACATTTTTCTTCAAAAACACCCTGTCATATTAAAGAACAACTCAGCTTGGTAAGAACATTTTTTTTTTCCTTTTCAATCTCAGACAGAAAACAGAAGAAATAACAAAATGTGTCTGGGTAAATAAGAGAAAGAAGGAAATGGCAATGAAACTTAATTAGCTTAAGTCATCATAAAGGGATTGTCTTCTTTCACTCCCTTCTCTTTTTCCAATCTTATGTAAAAGAAAAAAAAATCACCTTTTAACCTCACAT